AATGGAAGCCAGTGGATGTAATATTTCTGAACTTCAGCAAAGCTTTTGATACTGTCTCTCACAGTATTCTCTTAGACAAAATGTCCAGCACACAGCTAGACAAGCCGGGCATGTGATGGGTGAGCAACTGGCTCACAGGTCGAGCACAAAGTGACTGGGGTAACATCAGGACCCTAGCACCGCGGGCAGCTCGAAGCCCATCCCGCACAGCCCAGGTGGCCTGGAGACACCTCCGCACCCCCCACGGAGGGGGACAAAGCAGAAGTATTTTAATGCATTCCTTGCCTCTGTCTTCAACACTGATGAGGGACCAAGGGGGCCCTAATGCCCAGAACTGTAGGACCATAACTGCAACAAGGATCAACTCTTAGCTGACGCTGAACTTTTTCAGGACTTGCTGCTACAGTTAGATCCCTACAAGTCCATGGGACCTGATGGGATCCACCCAAGAATCCTCAAAGACCTGACAGTGTCATCGCTGGGCCTCTCGCAATGGTTTTGGGAGGTCCTGGGAATCTGGAGAGATCCCAGTTGACTGGAAACTGGCTAATGTTGTCCCAGTATTCAAGAAGGGTAAGAAGGTGAACCCTGGGAACCACACGCCAGTCAGTCTAACTTCAGTGCCTGGTAAAATTATGGAAAATATTATTTTGGGAGGTATTGAAAAGCACCTGGATGACAAGGCAGTCATCGGTCACAGGCAGCAGGGCTTCATGGGGGGAAAGTCCTGCTTGTCAAACTTCATTTCTTTTTTTGACAAGGTAACCCACCTAGTTGATCAATGGAAGCCAGTGGATGTAATATTTCTGAACTTCAGCAAAGCTTTTGATACTGTCTCTCACAGTATTCTCTTAGACAAAATGTCCAGCACACAGCTAGACAAGCCGGGCATGTGATGGGTGAGCAACTGGCTCACAGGTCGAGCACAAAGTGACTGGGGTAAACCATCAGGACCCTAGCACCGCGGGCAGCTCGAAGCCCATCCCGCACAGCCCAGGTGGCCTGGAGACACCTCCGCACCCCCCACGGAGGGGCTCGCTCGCCTCGCCGGGGGCCTCGGGCCGAACCCCATAAAGGGGCCAAACCCC